CCTCCATTCAAACTGTCAATCAGTATGTTAGCCACATGAGCATTTGTTACAGTGTACAAAATCTTTAACTTTAATCTTCCACTCTCAAAGTCTAGCCCAGTTCTACACAATCTGTGCTGAAGGACAAATTGTATTTTGTTTTATTGTCTTTACATCCAATTCCTTTCAGATGGGTGATTTTATAAATATGATAAAAATTAATTACTCAAAGAAAACGAAAAGACATACAAAATGCAAATGCAGTTTTTAATTTTTGTTTGATTTTAAACCGAAGTTTAGGTTTAACAAACAAAAAAATTTCTTTGCAAAATTGCTATGGAGATGTCTGTAACACAGACTTTTGATTTCTGCCCTTGCTCCACCCACAACATAACAAACAGTTCATGCTCTGAACAGCACAGTGCAGCCCGTGTCCGCGTCTCCCCAAAGCTCTCAGCAGTCAGCTGTGCTCGGTGAGCTGCTTCCCTTTCTCAGCACCTGCCACCCTTCTTAGACAGGAAGCTCTGTCTTCTTTGCCAGAATTGCTTCCCAACCCTTGTGCCTGGCTCTTGGAAACCCTCCAGGTCTCAGGTCACATGCCTCTGCCTCTGTTTATCCTGACAGCTCAGACGTGGTCTGGGCCCTTGCTCTGTGCTCATTGTACCACACATCTCTCCTAATACAATTTTCACCGTCTGGAGGGATCTGGCTCAGCTGAATCTTGAGATCCACAAGTACAGCACTAACATCGGTGCTGGCATTTACCAATGGCCCCAATGTCTAGGACATACTACGTGTTTAAGTATGTTTAACTCCATAGTTGGTGGGAGTGCAGACTGGTGCAACCACTGTGACAATCAATATGGAGATACCTCAAACAGCTAGGATTAGAGGTTCCATTTGACCCAGCCATCCCTCTGCTGCATATTTTTCCAAAAGAACTGAAAGAGTCACACCACAGTGATATATGTGCACCCATGTTTATAGCAGCGCAGTTCGTAATAGCTAAAACTTGGAAACAACCCAAATGCCCATCAACTGGAGGCTGGATAAAGATGTAGTTTTTCTATAAAATGGAATACTACTCAGCCATAAAGAATGAGAAACTAGAGGCATTTTTAGGAAAATGGGTGTACATTAAGGCCATACTCTTAAGTGAAATAAATAGGACACACTTGAGTAAATACCGAATAGTTTCTTTGGTGTGAACAACTGAAAGTGTAAATAAGATTCAAATGGTATAATGGAGAGTGTGATATAGGACGAAAATGGCTAAAGGGGAAGTGGGAAGGGGAGGGGAAAGGAAATAAGGGAAACGAAAAAATGTGAAAAAATGGAAACAAAGTTTTTGTAAATAGGGAAGGATGAAAGGGGTGAAGGGAGGGCAGGGGTAACCAAACATGTCATATAAAGGTATAAGATCCCAATGATAAATGTAATTGTATTGTTGCTTTAAATGTACCAATAAACTTAATAGGGAAAATTAAATAAATAATACTTGTTCAATTAATAGGTAATTAGAATATAATAATTTCACATAATTCAAGCCCCACTTCACAAATGAGAAATCTGATCTGAAGTCATACTTTACGCATTGATAGAGGAAAATTTTTAGGCCACATTAAGTGGAAAAAGTACAGCACAGAGTAAGTGGTGTGATGTTACCCCTTGCTATTGAAAGGATGAAAAAAAAATGTTCCTAAATCATGCAGTATCTGTGTTCGATTGTATAAGTATGGAGAGACTCCAGAAGGACCCGTGCAAAATTAACCACAGTGGTTACTTAAGGCTGAAGTGTGATAGATGGGTAAACCAAGGGTGTGAGGAAGATTTTCCATTAGCTACCTTTGTATTTTCTTAGCCATGTCAACTTAATTCCTATTCAAAAAATTAAATTAAGAAAAAGAAACACATTAGGTGGAATTTAAGAATGATGAGGCTCATTCATGAAAACACACTGTGCTGCCAATGATAACGTCTTTCAAGAAGGCCCTTCTAGCCTCTGAGCACCCTCCCGAGGATGAAGATGAGGTCCTAGCTGGACTCATCGCTCTGCTGGACTTTCCAGCCCTGGCTTCTCCAAGTCTGCACACAACCTCCCTACTGAGTAAGAGAGAGCCCGGATGTCTGGCTTCTAAGGTGAAAGTGATAAGTAAGTCGCCGCACTACATTTGCTTGATTCTTTTCCTCTTACTTGGCCATGTTAAGTGCTTTCTAGGCCTTTTTGTTTCATGTATTTATTTAGCAAATATCACCTGAGTGCCTCTTATATGTGATGTACTACTGCACTATATTCTAAAATTATACAGATTAATTTTCTGTTGATCTGATTAGCATGTTTAAAGTTTAAGGAAACAAGAAAATACCATCCTCTTTGTATGTGGGGACATGCCTATGGTTCTAAGTGTTTAAGTCACCAGCCAGAAATCACACAGGACTTAGTAAAAACAGTGGTGCTTTTGCCATGTGGGTCTAGGAGGCAAAGTCCACTTGCTTCCATTTTTTTGTAGGTGATTTCACTTTGGAGAAGATATGACAGCTTGTCTCTCTTCTCACGTGAGTGCTTGTCTATTCTGGTAAGAGTATGAAGTGTGTTCTTTCATCTTTTTGCTTGGGTTTGAAAACATTCGCTGGCTTTTGCATTGCAGAAATGTAGATCCTATTGCAGAGTTTAAAAGTTGATTGTAGCAGTAGAAGTATGTATGAAGATGACTCAGATTTGAGGCCTGTCTCATGAAGGTGACATCTAGGCAAGGCGCAAAAGTGTACTCATAAATCACGAAGCTAGAAGGTAGAAATGATCAAGGCCCCTCCAGATAAAGTGTTCTGAGGAGACAGACATTAGCCGAGCTGGCAAATTAACAAGGAGGTCACTGGCGTGGCTTGGGTCACTGGCATGGCTTGGGTCAGACCTACACCAGAAAAAAATTGAAACTGTGAGAACCTCCTTATCTGACATTAGCCTTTGTACAATTTGCTTCCAATGTGGCATCCAAGGGAAATCTCTGAGTTATGGATTTTAGTTTTGAGATTTGTTTTTTCCTGTCTTTGAAATACACTGCTAGCTTTAATGCCTGAGTGAGTTTGATATCTACTTGCTACTTGATTTCACTTGATTGAAAATAAATATATCTCTAGTTTGTCCTACAATTAAAGGCCACTTATTCCCCTTAATCCAGTAACACAGAGAAAAATCAGATAAACCTTCATTTTAAAAGACACCTGACACTCTCTAAACAGTGTACTTACTTTGCACTGTCCTTCATTTAATGAAGTCCTTCATTTAATGCTGACATAAAACTTTTCAGTTATGCGGGCATGGTGGCGCATGCCTGTAATCCCAGCACTTGGGAGGCTGAGGCAGGAGGATCACTGCGAGTTTGAGACCAACCTGGGCTACATAGTGAGTTCCAGGTGAGTCTCAACTACATAGTGAGACTCTGTCTCAAAAAACCAAAAAAAAAAACCAATCTTTTCAATTATACAGTTACTATTGGACCCATTGTACAGATAAGGAAGTGCAGGCTTAAAGAGGTTGTCTTCTATGTAATATAGTTACTAAGTGGTCAAGCTGATAGTTGAATCCAGAGCTCATTGCAAACTTTGGATCTTAACCAGGATAGCGGTGGTTTTCAGGATCATTTGCAGAGGTTATTGAACCACAGCTTGGAGCCTCCACATGGAGTTTCTGATTCAGTGTGTTCTTGTTAAGAAGCCCCCAGGGGATGCTAATAATGAAGTTGATGCTGCAGATTCCAGAGCTGCACATTGAGAAAACCACACTTCTACCATGGTAGTTTTCCAGTGTTCTTTGGAAGAACTTAAACCCAACCTCACTGGATACATATGTACGCCAGTTCTCCATTTAGTGGAATAATCAAGAAATCACTTAAAGTTTTGAATGGGCTTACAGCATTTAGAACCAATAGCCAATATATTAAATGTCCCCCTTTAATAATTCATTTTCTATGCTATGAATATAGAATTCTTCTCTATTAAGGGCAAGGCTGATCTTCTTACATGAATTATGAATTTCAGATTAGTTGAGTAGCATCCCAATCACCAGATTCTAATGGTGTCCATATTTCATTTCTTGAATAGACATGTGACATGAGAACTAATTCAAGGAAGGGAAGCTCTTGCATTCTCAAAGCACCCTTGGACAATAAAGAAAGGGAGATTTTTTTTTTCTTGGCACATCTAAATGGAAGAAGACGGGCAGGGGATTTAGCTCAGCGGTTCGGTGGCCTGCCTTGCAAGCGCAAGGACCCGAGTTCAATCCCCGGTACCAAAAAAATAAAATAAAGTAAAATAAATGGAAGAACAGATATTTATCTTACATCCTGCCCCCTCCTGTATCATCTTGTACTTCTCTTTGATGGCATTTATCATGCTGGAAAACATTTGTGTCATATTGCTCATACTTTCCAAATCCTAAGTTCGTGAGGATCATGTCTGTCTTGTTTACTTCCCAGCCTGGGATGGTGCCTAGAAATATTTTTGGCTGGCTGACAATTACTTCTCAGTAATCCACAATCTTATAGGCTGTGATTCACAGTCACCACAGTTCTAAACCTGTCCAGCTAGCTTCAGAGAGAACTTGTTACAGAGCAGACATTGTGGGGTGCGGAAGAATTTGTGAACACTCCATAAAACCCAAGCAACATGATTTTGTTCCCCACTCCCAGCCCTCTCCCTGGAGCGCTTCTCTGAGATGCCTTCTTCCGGTTAAATTGCTGGGCTTGTGTATAAAGAAAACACACACTGCTCGGAAGAAACCGGAGTTTAATGAAGCAAAAAATAAAAACATCCTATGAATTGAATCCAGCTGTGCAGATATTTCTTGCCAACCGTGTAGGAGTCGGAGTAGCAGGAGCTGTGTGTGAATACAAATGTGAATGGCTGTCTAGGGGCCCAGATGGGTTGTAGGCTGCTCAGACAGATCCAGTGACTGTGTTCCCATTGTCAGGCTCCAGGTGACCCAGGAGCTGATCCTGCCCGTGTACACCAAAGGGGATGCTGATTGAGATCACGCTCAGATTCTGGGGCACAGGTGACTCTCTTCGCTCTCGTTTCTGTGGCGTTAATTCCTGGTGGGTTCCGAAGTACTGGAAAATACTCTTAAAAACTGAGAGGGTAGATATTAAAAGCTTCGCATGGTCTCTGTGCAGACAACTGAACAGAATACATTTGTAATTTAGGCAAAATGGGACTTGCTGGCATCAGAAAGATGACTGCCCTTGAGCAGTGATACCTCGAGGAAAAGCCTGCATTCTGTGAGTCCTGTAAACCCGCATTTGATTGGCATGGTGATGGTGACACTGCTAGCACTATGCTCTTGTGTGCGCCACATTTATACAATAAGAAACAGTCTCATAGAACCCATTAATTAATGTTCTCTCTTAAAGATATTTTTAGGAATAATTTATTTCTTGTATTACCCACTATTTTCTCTTAGAATAGGTTCCCTATGATAGATTTCTTTGTAAAAGAGCTGTATATGTTCTTTTTTTTCTAGAGCTGTACGGTTCTAAATGCATTGTTTCCTATCTGAAAGCAGCTAAAAGTACATAATTGATTAGGAGTCAGTATTCTGATCTAGTACTAAAGAGACTGAGAAAGTGAACTTCACTGAATTCATTTTAAACTAGATTACTTTAAGTTATGGTTGTTTTCCTCATTGATTCTACACGTATATGTTACATGTCTGCTTTCTCTATTTTATTAATTTGTAAGATAATTTCCTTCTATTTATATAGCAAGTTGCAAATAAATTCATCCAAAAATACTTTCTGAGCATCTATTAAATTCCACAAAACACTTTAGGCATTGAACAAAATAGATATGGTTCCTACACTCATACAGCTTAATTTGTAAAAACATGAAAAAGCTAATTGAGGCTTACCTAGAAAATAGATATTTATACGCCAAAAAACTTGGACAGAATAGTACTCTCATTTTGTAAGATTTTTATGAGGATTAAATTAGATCAGACATGTCATATATTGCTGTGACATGACAGGTTAACTATTCATGTCCACCTCTGTTTTTACTTAAAACCTTAAATTTTGCTGAAATGCTTCTGATTCAAACTCTATACCAGAGAATTAGATGTTTCAGATGCTCTGTTAAAGCTAAGGGATGGATGTTTAAATGCAAATTTCTTCATACAAGGGCTCATCTGACTAAATCAAAAGGAGTTTGGGAAAGAAAGGAGGAAAACTTATATGAGCTCTCCTCTAACAAGGAAACGGTTAGGAAAGAAGCCCTCTGCTGAGGGATCCTATTCTCACTGGGAAGAAAGACCACAGGCAGACACCACGACGTTCTGTTAAAAATTCTTAAAATTTCTAAAAATTCTTCCACCCACTTCTTTCTGCTTTACCTCCAAGGAAAAGTCAAGGAGCAGAAAACTTGGAGGGGCAGTCCCTCATTCTTTCGGAGGAACATTTTCTCAGGTGTATCTCTAGAAGGCTAAGACAAACACAGACTTCTAGCACTCAGCCATCTTTTCCTTGTTTATTTTGTTAGCACATTTGTAACTCATGCGCTTTAGTCATCTTTGGGAGTGGTCAGGCAGGCTGGTGTTTCGTTAAACCCCTTCCCCTGTTCGCTTTCTCTTCCCCACCCTTCTCTGGCTCCCCTATCACTGTTTTGTTTTTGTATTGTTTTTCAGGGATTTTTTTTTTTTCACTTCAGAGAGGAAAAATTAAATAAAAGCATCTACTGAGCTTTCCTTCTCATTTATCCCAGAAATAGGTTGCACACATGTCCGGACCATAAGCCCTGCTAGGCCACAGCCATTGTGTCTCCATTGAGTCCATCCTATTTGCAAATTACTCAAGAGAAAGTAAACTGCTAAATTCTGACCCTACAAATGTCCACATATAGTCTAAGTTCCATCAAGTGTGACTAAAGGGCGCCTATGAAGGATCCTTTTCATCATTTACAAAAATAGCCAACGTGTCCCCTATGAGGAAAGCAGCCTGCCTGGGAAAGGTTTTCACAAGCCTGAAAATGATTTTTGTTCACTCGTAATACTTATCAGGCATGTAGAAAGGGGCACTTTGCTGTAGTAGTAGTAGTGTGAAGATCTTCAACTTCATAGTTAAACCCAAATTCAAATCCCACCCTTGCACCTTAAAGGAAATGCTAGAACCTGTTTTGCTGAAGGATTTGAAGGATTCTATTCAGTCTCTCACATGGAGACATGCACAGAATGCCTTTCCTTTTCCTTTCTGCTAATGTACACAGTAAACAACCCAGGATGTATACACGTGAAACCCTAGAGCATAGAACGAGACCAAGTCCTAGTACCTGTGGAATACGTTTCCAGATGCACAGCCATCCTTGACCTGGGCTGAGATATCGTGTGTAGCAGGGAACTGGGTAGAATTACAGGACTCAGAAAAGATCCTCAGAGGTTTTCATTCCATAAAAACTTTCCCTCCCTACTGCCTCTGGCTGTGTCTCATGAGGACATGAAACACACACCAATTATAGCCTAGTACTTATATCACTTAAAAATGGTAACATCATTTATGTTCTCTGAGAGAGGAGACAGATGAGGTAGAAAGGATCATAAAAGAAAGAATAGGAAACTAGTGCTTCTCAAATGTCCACAGTGTTCACTCCCTGAGCTGAACTCTTTACAGCACTGAAATGAGTGATATTTTTCCCATTTTAACTCACAAGAATGGAAGATCACAGCAAGGTAACTTTACCCAAAGTCACATCCTTCTAAGTGAGACTGCTAGGATTTAAACTTTAGGCTTTTTTGCCTAGATCCACAAGGAGGGAAAAAAGGAGTCTTACTAAGGAACCACTTCAGTGATGCTTTAGAAAGTCTCTGCAGCATGGTGTCTTCAGGGCTTTTAACATAAATAGGTCCAGTTCAGGGAATATGAGAGAACACGACCTCAGGGTTGGATGTGCCTGTACCCAAATCCAAGCTCTCACTCTACGCACCAGACTTACAGCCTGTGTACCAGCAGGAGTCTGTCCAGAGAAGCTACCAGATGGAATCCATGTGCTTTTGCCCAAGGAAGAAACAAGACTGCAGTGCAAATTCTGACACATTACTAAGCAGAACCTACCAGAAGGAACAGCATGGCTAAGAGTGTGGGCCCAGTTTTAGATAGATCAGGCTTCTAATCACAGCACTGAGGAGAGGCACTAAAGCACAGTAACAAAAAGCACAGAGTCTGGGCTCTCAGCCCAGCCCCAAGACTTACATTAGTTCTTCCTGTTTCACCCCTGTATGTTTCAGTTTCTTCATCTGTAAAAATCACTGTGATAAAAGTGTATATACTCCAAACAGTTGGATCTAGATACTATCAAAATATATGTAAAGCACTTGTCACAGTGCACCACATTTCACATGCTCTTCGTAAGTGATTATCATTGGCACTTTGATCCATGGCTTCCACATAACAGGATGCAGCCAAACTCGACTTGAAAATATTCAAAGAAAAAAAAAACCTATTTGTGGTGAATATTTATAGACTTCTTTCTTGTCGTCATTCCTTAAATCATGTAATATCACAACTTTTTACCTAACATTTAGATTGTATTAGGTAAATGAGAAGTAGTCTATAGATTTAAAGTACGTGGGAGGATTGTGCCAGTTTTCTACAATACTGTGTTGTTTTATATAGCTGAAGGGACTTGAACATCTGCAGTTTTGGACTCCCGAAGTGGAAAGGCGGGCACGGGATGTCCTAGAGCTAGTCCCCAGTGGATAATGAGGAAGGAGTGTGTTACTACTGCCATCGTTACCAGTACTATCATTACTTAGGTGCCTGTCTTTGAGCAAGCTAGTCTCTCCAGACTTCATGTATGTTTTCTGTAAAATGAGTAAATGAATATAACTACGTTAAAGATGTGTTTGTGAGACTCAGCTGGAAAGGTGAATATGCTTAATACCATTTCTGCAGTTATTTTTACTGCCTAGATCCTGCAACATTCATCCCTTCTTTGAAGCATGACACTTTTCAAATAACTTTATGGCTCTGAATAGTTTCCTCGGGAGAAATTGTTACATTCAGTTTTACACATCAAATAAAGAAGCACTTTCTTCTTGGAGGTTTTGATTTGGAGAATACAACCAGTACACAGCCGTCTTCTCCAGGGCCAACTTCATAAATACTGCCCCGGTGCCTCCCACATTCTCATGTTGCTCAGGAAATTGTTCAGCTCCAGAAATCAGAAAATGCTCTCTACCTTCCTCCAGGCAGAACACATAATCAGTATTTTCATGTGAAACATCACTGCACTTTTCAGCTTTTTTCAATAATCTTCAAAAATTGGGTGACTTCTCTGTATATCTCATCGCTAAATTAGTTTCTGTTGGTCTTAATATCACTGAACTTGAATGCACTGGTCTTTCCTGAAGGCATTTTATTAAAGTTATAATTTCTTCTCTTTTATTTTATTAAACCTCTATCCCAGCTGGATCTCCTTGAAACTTGGGCTCAAGGTAGGATTGACTAAGAGTTCTCCTGTATGGTAAAATTTAACTTCTCCCATCCTAGGACCACTTCACTAGATCTCTACAAAGTCTGGAGGTACTAACTGAAACACCTGTTCTGCACCAGCCACTTTCCTGGGCTCTTCCTGTACGCATGAGGAAGTCACATCTCTGTCTTCTCTTGTTTCTCTGTACCTCATTGATCTAAATGTGGAACTTGGCTCCGTCTCTTAAGTAACAAGCAAAAAATCTGTGTCTTACAGAAGATATTTGTGTAACCAGCAAGCACCCCTGGGAAGAGAACTGGGGGCAGAAGGAATAGATGGGGAAGAGGACTAAATTGCCACCAAAACATTATTTTAATTTCATAGAGTATTTTCAGCCAGTCTTCATTCTCTCTTCTTCCATAGCGTGTTCTTTTTCCTCTTCCAAATTGCTAGTTTATTTTAATCCAGAAATGTAGAATTTTCACCACATTCACAAGGAATTTAACAGAAAATATTAAAAAGGCTCATGATGGTGCCATAAGCTCTTAACGGCCTTTTCCTTGGTTACTGAAATGAGGTTTAAAGATTTGAAATTACCATCAAGAAAGAGTCCATGAAATTCTTAACCAGTAGTCATCACCAACTCTAGCCTATGCCTGAGATGTTGGTGGG